GGCTACAGAGGAAGAACAAGGCAAACGACAGTTCTTGCAATGCACAATTGAAAGCTTGCTCATCTCACCAGGAAGCCCTTTTCTCGTTGACACCCAAAAGGGCACAGAACGCAGCCAGGCAAACTGGAAACCGGCAAAGCATGTAGTCCAGCACAACCGCCTTTCCACCAGCAGGTTGCTCAGGGGGTTCCTGAGCTGGACATCAAGCACCTGCCAAACCTTTAGCAACAGGTCCATTTAGATTTAATTGCCCCAGTCAACCCAACGCAAACACTTGCCCGAATTGATGCTTGAGATGTTGGTCTCAACTCATGATTTGCTGCTTGGTGGATTCTTGGCAGGACGTTTGTCCCAACTCAATCAGCATTGCAGCAGTTGCCCCCATCAGCTACATGCCGGGTGTTTCTTTGGTTTTGCACAACATGTTAAGCAGCACGCAAATCCACTTGGGTGAAACTTCTTCACATGTGGGACACATAGGCACTCTGTTAATCCCAAACACTGATTATAAGCATCTTTTTTAGAAAAGCACAGGTGATACACAAAACCAGAATCGCAGGCACCAAATCTAATGGTATCATGAAAAAGGGCTAACCCAGTCACAGTAGGCAACTTGAGAATCTGAGCATAAAACAATGATAATAACAAGCAGCTCACAACACACTGAGTCATTCAAACAGGACACTTCTGGAGAGCCCTTTCGCTGTAGCCGGTTCAGAATGCCCATCAGGAACTGATTCACCTCTTCCTGCGAAAGCACTTTCATCTTGGTCCGAATGTCCTGCAGGTTTTGTCAAACAACTGACTTGCTGTGTTGATCAACCCCAATGAGCTAAGTTCAACAAAAAGGCTTTGTGCCCAAACAGTACTGACTTATGACCCAAAGATCCTCCAGGTTCTCCACCCTGAGTGCATTTGCCCGGAACTCGTGCACGCACAGCTTCTTGCAGCACTTGTAGAGCTTCTCACCCGACCTGGGATATGTTGCTGCTTTAACCATGAATGCAATGACTTCAGCATGGACAAAAAAAACAAAAAGAAGCCTTGTTAAAGCCAGACACATCAAGTCAAGGGACGATGGATCAGGTAACCGTTGCTTGCGAAGAGGGGGCGTTTCAGCTGCATCTGGCACTGCTTGGTGAGTCAACAATAGAAGATCAGGGGCCAACACAATGTCCGGGCCCGCCGAGTCATCCGGGGGCAGCTCCATGGCAGTTCGGGCTAGGCACCAGCAACAAAGTCTTGGTTTGGCTGAGATTCCCAAACACTGTCCAGTCTAGGGTGAACAAACTTAAGGCATTAGGTTTCCCTGATCAATGTCAACGTTGTCCCAAATCCATGCTATGCTAAAACCCCATTGTTGAGCCAAGGCAAACCATGCCAAGCTGAGTTCCCAGCGCTAGCCACTCCCACACCCAGCACTCAGGCCTGCAAAGGTCCTGCGCACCAGCAACTGGAGCTGCCACAAACCTGGGCAGGCCAGCCACATTCCCTATGACAACTACCAACTACCCACACATTGCCAGACTCATGACTCAGACACCTGGTTGCGTGTGGCCTGGTTGTTGAACATTGACATAAGCTAAACCCTGCAAAGTGACACAGCCATTCTAACTTGCATCCAAGTGACACAGCTGCAAAGACCAGCCAATCACAGGCAGCACAGCAGCACCTCAACAACAGATTCAGAAGCAGTTCACTTGAAGCTAGCCAACAGCTAGGACCTACTGGTTGAACATTGGACATCACAGGATTGAGCAATGCTTCAAAAGCACAATGGACAACCACAAGCCAGACTCAGGAAGCAGCTCAAGGGAAAATTGTCCAACCATTATGTTTTGACCCTTGAAATGTCCAGGCACATGTTTCACCACCTTTCACTTTCTGGACCTGGATTAATGTGGACAATTGGTTTGCTTTGCTGGGGAAAACGAGCTTGGAATGCAAAGGCACCCTTGGATAACACTTGCCCTCAACACTTGCCCTCAACACTTGCCCTCAACACTTGC